AGGAAAAAAAACTAAAATAATTTGGTTTATTCAATATAAAAAAATTTTAAAATTGGGGAGATTCGGCTCTTCAATTTATGGTCTAGAATTGAGAATCGAATCAAACCCTTCGATTCTTGATTTTAGTACCCATTCGAGTATTTAATTTGAAAAAAATTGAACCGAACCGCTTGGCCTCATCCCCAGTCCCAACCATTTGGTGTGAGTAAATTTATGGGGAAAGAATTCAATCCAAATTTGGCTGCAAAAGCCGTCGTCTCAAATCCGAAATGAGCTCAACCACCTCCATATACCAATCGACACGATGAAAAGTAGAATTTTATCATCTCAGCCATCTCAAGGAATTGAAATCTCAAATAAAATAGAATGTAACCATTCTAGTTAATAACCCTAAAAGACTAGGAAAAACAAAGCATCCCCCAACCCCGCTATAAATTCGTCAAGAACCATCCGGAATTCTTTCTTTTTTTTTTTTTTGACTCATTCCTCACGTCAAATTCTAACAAAAATATTATTTGTTATAATTATAATTTGCATGAAGTAATAAAAAAGATAAATGCATCCTGGCCGGAGCTACCTTACGGTATACTCGCAAGGAGAATCCCAAGATATCCACTCCCCTCCACTGAACTTACGTGTAAAATAATAAGAAGGCCTCGGTCTTGACAAATGCAGAACTGCATATGCATTTAAAATCCTTAAAAAAATGTTTTATATATGTATATATAGTTATGTTTGACATCCATTCTCTTTCTCATTCTCTTTCTCTTTTTTCATTCCAACCACACATTCTATCAATAAAACAATATTACACATAAACTCAAAAATCTTTCTTACTTTTTAAAGACACATTCTTCCCATCAATCACTATTCCAAAATTTTTTCTTCTCCAAAATTGGTGTCATAGATGCTCGCACGTTTGTACTTTTTAATATCCTCTATATAGCCAACTTCTCCTTTTTCCTTCACTGTCAAGTTTCTGGGATTTGTTTCATTTTTCCGAAAGTACAGATTAAAGATCCTTCCTTTAAAACAAAGGTAAAGATATTTAAATCCTCTGCAAAATTCTTTTAGCACTAATATAATCATGGTTTTGTGGATAATTGGGTAATTGGTTAGTTTCTGTAATGCACTTCTTGAATCCTTCAAATGTCGACGACATAGAAATTAACAGATGTGGACGACAATGGAATCTTCTGCAGCGGTTAGTTGGTTTGCACCATAATGAGAGTTTATGGGGATATTCCAAAAAAGAAAGGCAAAAGTTAGAGGGATATTGTGCC